AAAATATTATTTACCGATACGATCTAAATTTGATTTAATAAAACGCTACAAACTTTTTACTTAAGCTATTAATGTGTTAACCCGTTTCGAAAGTAAAAGCAATATAGAAATGCTTCAACCGTTATAAATAGGGTGCTCGGCCAATGTTGAGAGAGTTCATTAACCAATTCAACTGAATTGGGGGCTTCATTGAAAAGACAGACGAATCTTCTTTTACATAGGCCTTCAGTCGGCTTCGCTAATCGTGCTGGCAAAGAATGCCTTTGGTGGTTTGCAAGCATTACAAACGTTTTACAAATCTAATACGCTTACCATAGTGAGTGTGACTGGAGACTCGATCCGTTCCTTCATTTTTTTAGTGGGATTTTTTTAAATGAATTTGCACATATATTTCATGTTTTACTTGTAAAATTGTTAACATTTTATTGTTTATTTAAGTCTTCAAAATCTAAATGTCGAAAATAAGGTGTTTTTATTCATTTGTAGTTTTTTTTTTTTTTTTTTTTTTTTTAATTTATATTTTTTTTTTTAGCAGAAACGTACGCATGATTCATTGCTGTACGTATGTATTAAAGTGAACAAAAAAAAAAAAAAAAGAAGAAAGAGATGATTTTTTAATGTTTATTTTGCAAAATAAGTAGAAAGACGGACATAATGTTTCTCTTGTGTTTATTACTAATAAATAAATAAATAAAATAAAAAGATGAAAAAAAGGTTTGCTTTCGTGTGTTTTGCCTTCTGTGTACACACACAATTTGAGAAACGACATGCATGAAACATTTTTGCATATAAATGCGAATGAAATAACGAAAACGTGCTTTGTATTCCCGATAAATACTTTTTGGCAGGCAATTAAATCTAATGAAATTTACAAATATTAACGAATAAAAAAAAAAAAAAAGAAACCAAAAAATCTAAATAAATAAATCAAGAAATAAAAGAGAAAAAACCTCGCACAAGCAAGCTTACAATCAGAGCTGCCAACAAAAGGATAGAAAGCTACTTACGCGCCATACTGCGGATCTCGAACACGAATTTGTTACTGTTCGAATTAGCTCGAGTCAAGAAAATGAATGTTTTAAGACCGCGCACAATTCTTTCGGATGCCTCTGTGCTGTGCTAGGAAGTTGATCAACAATCCAAGGGTGAATAATAAGGACAAGTTACCTGTTGGTCTTTCGTCTTGGCATTTACTCTCTGGTGGTACTCTCCGCTTCCTTGACATTTCCAAAACAGAGGAACGAACGGGGATATGTTTTCTAATAACGATCTTAACTGCCGTTATATCTTCTCATATTCATAATGTACCGTCGAAGGACGAGTGTCTACCAGAATGTTTACCTCCGTTTGTCGCAACTCGACGGCGAGCGTATATATTCCGGATTAGAGTGTGACATTATCAGAAAATTTAGACAAGTTCGTCAGTCTTTCTGTCCGCGAACAATTCCTCTCACCGTTGCAGCAAATTAAGAACCCGACGAATGACGTGTGGCTTTGTAGGGACAATTTGATGGTCACATCCCAAATTTAAAAATTGTAATAATCCGCTCGCAAATAAGCTAAAAATCTAATTACAGCAATTCTACATTCGTTAAGCATAAGCGTAAGTCAGCTTCTTTCGAATCTTTTTTTCTTTTATTTTTCGTTTCTCTCTTGCGAGGACTCGTCTCGTGCTTAAACAGTTTATCGAGTCTATCGATATTCCTTCTCACGTTTTTTTTTTTTTTTTTTGCAAAAATATTGATTTAGAAAAGAGGTGCCAACGAAAGCATTCATCGTCTAGCATATTCAGCTCGCTCGTGCAAGAGCGAAATGCCATTAAAGCGAAAACAATTTAATTGCCCTTTTATTAATAGAATGTCACGCAGCAATAGCGAACAACAACACCGACTAAGCTAATACTAAAATTAAATGAAATGAGCTATCGATTCTACGCACGAATTCGAAGAAATATTTGAAAAAAAGAAAAAAAAAATGTATTTTGCACACAAACGAGATGATTGCCATAGTTTTGTGGCGTCAATATATAAAAATGCGTAAATTTTTGTTAAAAGCGAGAATGGTGCGTGTGTGCATATTTTTGAGGTCACGGTAAATGTCGTTGTCAAGCGAAAGATAGACAAAGAAACAGGCGAAAAAACAAACAGACAGACAAACATGCAGATAGAGAGACGTATTAATAGACAAATCAATAGTTGAAATCAATTTGCGAAAAACCAGTTAAATTTAAAAGCAAACAGAAAATATTTTTAATTTTTATTTTTGATTTTTTTTTTTTTTTTTCTTATTTGAATTTCGTTAAGCTAGAGTTCTATGCAACAAATACCCGATTGCGTTTACACACCTATATATATTTATATATATATATATATATATATATGAGTATCTACGTGTGTAACATTAAGCCTGATTGACGACTGCCAACAATTTTATGTGAATAACAACTAACACCATCATCGGATCGGATCGGATCGCATCGCATCGCATCGCATCGCCATACTGCTGCCGTTGTTGCTACTATTAAATGTTTAATACCCGATCACAAGTTGTTCAAAACTCACTATGAGATTATTTAACACACGAACAAGTACACATATCATATCACACAAGCGAGTGTTTATTTATTTATTTATCTTTATTTCTTAATTTTCTTAATGAGGTATTATTTACTTGGAAAATTCTCGGAGGGGTATGTGAACAAATTCTGTATACATTATATGTATATATGTCTATCTATATACATATAATGCACATGGACTTATTGTATGTATGCCAATAATATTCATTAATAAATCAAATAGAAATTGTTTTAAAACTAAAGATTTAAATATTCGGTTAGTTGGTTACTTATATGACCGAGACTTGGGGTGACCGAGAGAGTATCACTGTCGTTTATTATTACTAATACATAAAGAAACAAAAAAAAAAAAACTAGCATTTAATTAAAATATTGCACGAGTTCAATAAAAAAGAATCATAAATAAAATAAAAATGGATATTTAAGGTCAAGAGCAATTCCATTGTAACGCGTCGTTGCTGCGGCTTGCGTTTTCAACAAGATTTAATAATCACAGATGTTGCGAGAACAAATGCTTTCCTTTTCTTTTTTTTTTTTTTTTTTTCTTTGAAACATGATTAGTGGATTATAAAATTAAGAGACATTTTAAGTAGTTGGCTAGTATGGAAATTTATTATCAATATATTGTGCTTTCAAGTTAATACAGTATCTCATCACATGCATAGAACAGAAACATCCGATCTATAGAGATAATCTTTAGCCTTAATCGATATATTTGAAATGGCAAAGAGTTAAGCTCTTTTGTACAGAGGAAGTGACGGCGAGTGTATTTCCACTTATGTTCCTCCTAAAAAAATTCTTCAAAATCAAGCATTGTGAGATGTTTATAGCGAAATAGTTTATGCACATTTTTGAATGACACCCTTTCGGAAACTTATCTAAAAGGTTGGGCCCGCGCCGCGAACAGAGTTATCTCAAAGAAAGAAACGAAGAATTATATTCGACTGTGGCCGAATCTTTTATACCCATCATCTTTTTCCAAAAAAAGCGAAAACGCATTTTCGACACCCTACGATGTACGGCGAAGGTGCCTAAATTTGTTTTCATTACTCTACGGCTACGGCACCTATCACCCGTAGAATATACATGTGGAAATTTTAGTCGCTATATCTGTTATAGGATATAAGTAACAAGAAAGAATCAACCGAATTCACGACCGAGATGTTCGCATTTAATTTTTCAATGTTTTTGGTAAATTTCCAGCCGATATCAACAATTTGGGCACCAATTTATAAGTACTGAGCAAAAGAACCGAATTTTTTTTTTTTTTCACAAACACTTCTGCATTGCATTATCAGTGTGTCCTTTGTCCAATTTGTGTCATTTTGAATACCACCCTGCCTATAAGAGCTTCTAAAGCTGGTGCTGCACTTTTGAGGCCGTTTTGGTTACCACTTACGTTTGCATACATAACGCATAAACTAACAGACGGACGGACAAACACGCCTAAATATATTCAGAATTCGATACTGATCAAATATATGCACATTTTGTAGCGCCTTTGAAGCTTCGTTTTGAATATTGCAAACGATTTGAAAAAATGTGAATATACCCGCAACTCCGCGGTGACAGAACTGCGAAAGCATTAAATATTATAACAGCAACTGTTTGTTTGTTGGTCGGTCTCTTTAGAAACATAAATTATTTAGGTATGATAATAAATCCCCCTTTTGTAATAAATTTTAATTTGAAAAAAAAAGGCACAGAATTTAAAAAAAAAATCATGTATATATATATATATATATATATATATAGTATAAAAACAAATCGCCGATTTTTTATGCAACAATTTTGCACCCTTCGCAATTATTTGCAAGAAAAGCAAATCCACAAGCACTTTTAGCACATTAACTTGAAACTATAGCACCATCACTCATTTAATAAACAATAAACTCTGCTGCTGCTGTTGCTGTTGCTCTTGCTGTTGCTGTTGCTACTGATGTGACGTTTAATAATAGCGTTAAGTAGTCACCAACCTTCAACCATTAGCGGCAGAGCCAGCGCATCGCAGTGCAACAAAGCAGACGTGCTGTCTATGACCCACATTTTGCGTTCGCAAAACGGAATCACACACACACACAAGCGAACAATTGCGGCTCAGTAACAGCAATTTTGCATTCTTGCATATCTCGTTCTACATTATCGCGTATTTGTCCGTTCACATATTAAGCTTTTCCCGTGTGTGTAACGTTTAGTGATAGGTCCCATCGGATATCCCATAAGTTATATAAATATTCAATGCGATTAACATGAATCACTCACAAGTTGACTTTGCTATATACCTGATCTGTCCTCTGATTAAGAAGTCACACTTTGTCCTTCAAATTACTCAGAGAACATCTAACGATTCAGACAAAAAGGTTTAGGCTAACTATGGTTTGTATAAACATGTTGTCTATTCTCTATACGTGAATTGTACAATGTCATACGAGCAGACAAAGTTCTCTACATATATCATTAATATATACACGGGATTTAAAAGTGAATATTGGGTGTATCGATACGTTCGTTATCTAGAAAAAACATCAAATCTAGTAAGAATGTGTACAAGTGCGAATTGAATGTTTAACGTAATTACAAGAATTTCGAACAGTTTAGTTATTTCGAACGTTTATTACGGTACTTCAAACGGGATTCTCTAGTTGTTTTCTACCGCTCCATAATAATCGTCTTCTTCCCTTAACAGCTGTTTAGTCTTAAGCATTATGTATTGAGTTGAGTAGACTAGTGGTGAATGCGTCGCTACAGCAACAAGATGTGGATCTAAAAAACGAAATTACAAATCGATTTCTCTAACGACGGATGAGTATAAAGTTTGCTGGAAGCGAATCGTGAAGGAAATCTTCCAAAGATATGATTATACTTTTGCGATAGGTTCATGCTTGATATCATAGATATGTGGCCTAAATTTTAAAGCTACTCTTGGTATACACTTCTTCCAACACCCTCTTTCGCAAAATCACCGTAAGATTATTACACACAGTTACCTCCTTAAGGTGTGATCTTTATGTATGCCCTTCGACGATTTCGTTTACTTCTCTGCTCTATCGCCGGAGTGATTTTGTCGCAACATAACTCATGGTCGTCTAATCAAAGGGATTACTAATCACGCTACCAAGTGTCTCTAGTGAAACGCCTCTGGTGTCGGCCATACGCTGGCCATCTTTTAGATGAATACAATATTCTTTACATTTTTCTTGTTGAGCTCCTATGTCCGAATCAATCTAGAAACTTCAGGCGATAGGTTTGCTTGGTCTATCGATGATTTACATCCACGGATAATCGCTCGATTCGCATGGCGTTATTTAGGAGTTCGATGCCAACGTACGCTTGCCGAGACGAACGAAAGTACTGTCATCCTTAACGGCACTTACGACATGACCGGTTGCCTGAACTCAACCAAGTATGCATCTCACCTCTGAATTGTCGAAAGTCTCATATCTAAAATAGCGCACTGAGGCGAAATGTGTGCGCGTGTGTAAGTTTCTTAATTATTATTACTTATTAATAAACATAAAATATTCTGAGTATTTGTGTGCTACAAAACATAACTAAACCTGAATCATGCTTCACATGCATGCATGTAAATGCATTTTACAACACAATTATTAGTGTGTACGTGGATGCAAGAATTTATAGAAACACTAAAATTGTGTGGGGCACGGTGTGTATGTAAATGAGATCAAACATTATTTATTGTCCAACAGAATAAATATTAGTTTGGGGAAAAAGAAATCCATTATTTTTTCGGTA